TAGAAGAGTGTGCCTGGTAATATTAGTGGGATGTTGTTCCCTTAGAGTATTGTAACACCCCCCTCTGGCACGTATCACAATATTGTCCGCTTTGGGCCACTCGGCACGAGGACTTCCCAGGGGGTCACCCATCCCGGTACTACTCCCGCCCGAGCACGCTTAACTGCAGAGTTCTTATGGGATCTGCTGCCCTCACGGCTTTAAAACGCGTTGTGACAAGGAAGGTATCTACACCCCTTTATAAGGAAATGTTTCGTTCTCCTTCCAAGCCGATGTGGGATCAGATCTAACCCACTTTCACCCCCCATTATAGAGTTCGACGTCCCTGTCGAACACATCGACCCGTGCCCTAGCTCTGATACCATTTTAACATCCGGACTTTTATCAGGTATCATGTTAATTGCATTTTGTTGATTTGTGAGGGGGGCTCGGCGAGTTGGAGCTCAGACTCGCCGAGTAGGGACGCGGATTTGGACGAAGGATCGCGCTTGGACTCGGCGAGTCCAGGATATGGACTCGGCGAGTCTGCGCTGTGTAATGAAACCCTAATTTCTCGGGTTTGAGACTTATTTAAAGGGCCTAATGGCCGTCATTTGTGCCCACCAGCCCCTTGAGTGAAACCCTAATCGTGTGTGAGCACTTGGAGCTAAGTAGGAGGCCATTATTGACCTTGGAGGTGCCATTTTGCAAGGAAGAGAAGAGCTAGCCAAAGGGAAAGCAAGAAGGAGCCATTTCTGTGGGTTAGGAGTCCAGAGCATCATTTTGTGGTAATAAATCCGAGTTACCTTCTTGTTTGTTGTTGTTTATTTAGATTTAGGGTTTGTTGAACCCTTTCATGGCTAGATTTGGTGCCCTTTTGGTCCCTTATGAGGTTGGAACCATAGATCTGGACCCTTAGAGGTCCAGAGTGACCCTTTACTCAAGCTTTTTGGGGATCAATGGAGGCTTTGGATTGGAATCCTCATGCCTTAGGTCAAAAACTCCATTATGGAGCTATGGGGGGTGTTATGAGCACCAAGATGGGAACTTTACGTGATGAATCAGTCGAGGGAGGCAGATCTATAGTTTTTGGAAGCAGATCTGACCTTAGAAGCGAGTTGGAATGGTTGCATGGCACAGACTCGCCGAGTCTGGTCATCCGACTCGGCGAGTATCTTGAAGATTGCCTTGGGACTGTTCAGCGAGTGGTCCAATCGAGTCATGGGTAGACTCAGTGAGTCAGGGTGAGTTGGAGGAGGGTGACGGGTGGACTGAGTCAACCTTGGACTCGCCGAGTTGTCCTTGAGACTCAGCGAGTCGAGTCGGGGTAGCCCCACGATTCATTCAGGTGAAACTCGTCGAGTAAAGGGGGGGGGATACTCGACGTGTAGTAAGAGGATTCAGAGGGTTGATAAAAACGTCTAGACTCGCCGAGTCCGGTCAGAGTTGACCATTGACCGTTGACCAGAGTTGACCTGTGTTGACTCCTTATTGATAGTCAACCTTAGAGATATAAAGTGTTAATTAGAAGTATATAATGTTATAGGAGGATTAGAGCTCGGAGGATCGAGCACGAGGGCTTTCCCGGATTCTTGAGATACCGAGATACGCGAGGTGAGTCTTCTCACTATACTCTATTACCTTGAGTAGGTAACCTGAGTTATGTGATAGAGTATTGTATGCTATGCATGTTATGTGTTGTACTGCATTATTTCTATGTGATTTATGTAGTGTATGTTTATCAGAGCTAGAACCTGAGGGTTCACAGAGTTTGGGTGCACGGACCCACAGAGTTATAGCCTCGAGTGGCTAATATGTGTTATATGTGGTATTTTGGGGAAACTCACTAAGCCTTGTGCTTACAGTGTTTGATGTTATTGTTTCAGGTACTAGTGACGATCGCGGGAAGGCGCCGGCTTGATCCGTACACACACATTCGGAGTCTTTACATTGTGATCTTGGGATTTTGTATTAACCTATTTTGGATGATTAATATGGTTGTTTGATGAATATTGATGGAATTATGTTTTATAAAAATTGAAAATTTTGTTTTGAAATTTACGGTGTTACAAGTATAATATGAGATGGGACTGTATGGTCTAAATGAGAACATGTTGAGACATTAGAGAATAGTTAGAGCCAAGAAGAGACAGGGTAGAGAAGAGAATAGAGTAAAGAAGAGAACATAGTCGAGATGAAAACAAAACAAGGAAGATATAGAGTAGAGAAGAGACATAGTAGAGAAGATACTGTTGGATATAGTGTTTAAGTCCATAACTTTATTTGGTATGTACTTGACCCGACCCGGCATGGTCCATTTGGGTTGCATGGCATTGCAATACTTGGATAGACAAAATGAGAGAAAGTACACTTGTGATTATTAATATATTATAAGTTCTAATATATTGATAATAGTATTATTTAATTAGTATTGATCAAGTATTAATCTAGTATTAATTTGGTGATCAAAGTGAGACTAATTAAATATATAGGGTTGATTATGACAATCATCAATTCTTTTATGGTGGATTAATGATCCATGGTTTATGGGTTTGGTTATAACCATATGGAGCTCCATAGATAGTCCATGGGAGTTACAAACCCATGGGTCATGAGAAATGAAGAGTCATGACAATTAGGGTTTACATTTGTAACTCCTAATTATGACACACTATAAAAGAAACCCTATAGCATGCAAAATCGGCACTAGTGTATTCATAAGAGGGCATAACCGATTTTTGAGGCTAAGTGACATTCTCTCAAGTTATTCCAAGTTTGTAGTGTTGTGTGAAGCATTTGAGGCACAACATTTGGGGTGCTAGGCTCACAAAGTCTTGAAGGAATCCAAGCAACAACAAGGTATGTATTTCTACTAGTTTTTATGTTTTATGTAATGCCCATGCCATGCTAGTTAGGAAATAACCTTGCAAAAGAAATTTGCATGTATATAGAGAAAACACAAATTCAAGGTTATTAGGATTGCATGTACACTTAGGAAGTGTTAGAATGCTCAAAACCCAACAGATACATAGATAAAGTATGAGTCGAGTATGTAAAGAGCCTGAGAAGAGGCTAAGTGAAGAGTGTGGGCAATAGAGTAGATGCCAAAGAAAGAGGTAGACGAGATAAGAAAGAGTCAAATGAAAGATTAGAGAATAAAGATAAAAGAGATAAATGAATGAGAAGAATAACAGTGGATGATATTAAGAGAAAGAGCTTAGATGATAGAGTATGAGAAAGAGAAGGAAGAAAAAGATAATAAAAGATAGAAAGAATAACTCACCAGACATAGTGTCTGATGTAGTAGAGATTTATGTTTTGCAGGTTCATGTAGCAGCATCTATGGTACCAGAAGAGAAGACATGAGCACAAGGACAAGAAGTAGATAATAGCTTTCCATTTGTTGTAGTTCCTTGTTGTTGATTTTTATGTATAGATTTTATTGTAAACCCATGATTAAACATGAGATTTAAAGTGTTTTAAATTTTGTAGAATCCTGCATTATAGATTAAAACTCTGATAATTCCCTTAGATCAGATGTTAGAAAATTCGGTTCATTACAATTGACACCTTCTATCATTTTATGTAAGATTATAACTTCACATTTTCTTCCATTTTTTTTCATTGTATGATCTGCTCGTACCAAAACTATATAAAAATCTTATAACTTCATGTAATGGTCACATTTACTATTATCTCCCATGCATCTCATGTAAAACAACCAATTTTCCCTTAACATCAATTCTTGTATTTTCCTTACTTGTTTCCATTTTGTGTACTTTCTAAACATCCAATTTTTTTGATGTTACATAAATGAATTAAGCCATCAACATATGAATTAACACATGTCGATTAGTGTTCTTGCCTCTAAGTATTTTGCATCTATCATGTCTAAGACCGGATAAAGGAAATGAGTAATGACTAATTTGGAGGGTTGTGAATGCCTTTATTTTGGTTGTAGGTTCAATATTACGTCTAGATAATGTAGTACAAAGAGGAACCATCTAGGTTTCCAAAAGGAAAATAAAAGAAACCCTACAAATCATATATTTGGAATGGGATAGCGAAAGTAAGATGTCGATAGTCGTGTCTCCAACATGGATAGAATGGGATCTATCTAGGTTTCTAAAGGGAAAATAAAAGAAACCCTATAAATCATATATTTAGAATGGGATAACAAAAGTAAGATGTTGATAGTCGTGTCTCCATCATGGATACAAGGACTGGGTCACAAAGATATCCTGACCTTTGACATGTTAAGAAACATTAACATGAAAATACGGTAAACAAAGAGAGTATGAGTCGCGCGGAGTGAGTAGTATTACATAAACACGGGTAAATCATAGTACAATCATATAGATCAGGAAATATACAAATGAGACCAACAATGAAATAGTAAGTCAATGTAAACAGTAAAACATAAACATGAATAAATCATAATAGGCATATGAGCAAGAAGCATGTACCAACTCTATAGACCAGACGACAAAACATATAAGGGTGCCAAACAATCATCTACTCTAATATTTAGCTTCTACACCTTCTATTTGAGGTGATGTCCTCTGAAGAGAAAACTCGTTATGCTCACACTATCCTCCCACTTTTTTTTAAGACATCATCTCTTTCTCTTGCCATCAATCATCACAGAATCCACACTTTTATCTCTTTCTCTTGCCATCAATCATCACAGAATCCACACTTATTACCGCCGATGATGATAGTCTCATTTGGACATGTTTATATCATCTCAATCATTATTCCCTTAATTTTTGCAATTTGTACCACTCCAAAAGAATTTCTTACGAATTCATTTGGTTACCACCATAACACAACTATGATAACCTTGAGACTAGCAATAAAAATAAACCATTTCCATATTGCTATTGTTGTAGGAAAATATTGCAAATAGGTAAGAAGATAATTCTAAAGTAGGGAAGATATTTAGAAAAAGATAAAATGTTTGTCTAAATTACTATTTAACCCGTTATCCTAAAATTAAAATAGAAATATATTCGTCATCGCCGACCAAAACTAGAACACAAACTTTCGCTTCAACCGTCACTACCCCACCGATACTCCTTTCCTCAACCTCCGATTTACAGATCTTAACAAATCCCCAATTTTTCATTCAACTAAATGACAACACCCACCTGAAAACAAGTAGAAATGCAATCCTTTTTCGTCTTCTTCATCACCTTTCTTTCAATTTGGGGAAATAATTTCATAAAACACTGCTATGCAAGCGTCTTCACCTTAAAGATGCACCACCGGTTCTCGGAGCCGGTGCGAAAGTGGTCGGAAAGCATTAACAAACTCTCCACTACCGATTTCCCTTCCAAAGGCAGCGTCGAGTTCTATTCTCAGTTGGCCGACCACGACAGGGTATTCCGAGGCCGGGGACTTTCAGATTCCGGCGAACAACAGCTCACTTTCGCAGATGGGAATTCCAGTTTACGCATCAAATCATTGGGATAGTATGTATTTTGCTAACTCATTATCCTTATTGCTTGTCTCGAGTTCCTGATTAGGGTTTCTTTTCCTTGTCTATCATCTCAAATGCGAATTTTTTATTGTCCAATTAGTTTGCATTACACAACGGTTTCTCTAGGGACACCAGGCCAGAAGTTTTTGGTGGCGCTTGATACCGGAAGTGATCTATTTTGGGTGCCATGTGAGTGCAGCAGATGTGCCTCCATTGATAACACACCTTATAGCTCTGTATGTTATCTATATTTCTATCATCTCATAATCAAATCAACTCAAGTTGTTTTCATGAAAGGTTAAACTTTTTCTCATAGGTAAACAATCTGATCCAACAAAACCCCAAATATTAATGAGCTTTTCATATGTTCTTATAGAAATTTAACATGAGCATATACAACCCAAAGGAATCAACAACTAGCAAAAAAGTTACTTGCAACCACAGAATGTGCACTGCCAGCTGTCCTGGAAGTGGCACAGTCAGCACCTGCCCTTATTCATCTTCTTACATCTCCTCTCAAACTTCAACTTCTGGAATCTTGATGGAGGATTTCCTTCACCTAGAAACAGATGACATTCATGGACAAATTGTCAATGCATTCATCACTTTCGGGTAAATTCATTTCAATCAAACTCATGTGCACATTATGTATACATACATACATACATACACATACATACATACATACGTACATGTTTGATTTATATTTGAAAATTACAGATGTGGACAAGTTCAAAGTGGTTCATTTCTACACATTGCAGCTCCAAATGGTTTATTTGGGCTTGGAATGGAGAAAATATCAGTTCCTAGTTTGTTAGCAAGAGAAGGTTACACTGCAAATTCTTTTTCCATGTGTTTTGCACATGATGGAAGTGGTAGGATTAGTTTTGGTGATAAAGGTAGCATTCATCAACAAGAAACACCGTTTAATTTTGATGCATCAAAGTAAGTGGTAATTTGTAAATGGTAGATTTTCATGTTTTGATTGTAAACTTTTTGATATTCTTTTATTAAAAGAAATAACGATTTTTTGCAGCCCGACATATACAATCACAGCTACACAACTTCGTGTTGGTGGATCTCTTATAAACTCAAGTTTCAGTGCCCTTTTTGATTCGGGCACCTCCTTCACATATCTTGTTGACCCACATTACACAAGGTTGACCAAAATGGTAAGAAGTGAAAAAAGATCAAAACTTTATAATCTTTATTACAAAAATGGTAAGAAGTGAAAAAAGAAACTTCATAATCTTTATTACATGGGTATGCATGAAATCATTATATATTGATGCATCAATTTATGTTTATATGTGGGAACATCTTTATTTATTTTTTTTTTTTTGCAGTTTCATGCACAAACTAAAGATTCACGAAGGCTAACTGATAAAAAGATTCCTTTTGAATATTGTTATGCCATGAGGTTTACTTTCTTGTCCCTTTTCTTTCTTAATCTTTCTTTCTTGTTTTGTTTTTACATAACCAAGTTCTTATTTTTTAAAGGACAAATATGAGAAATAGAAACCTACTTTCTTTTATTTGTGAAATATAGCATCATATTTTCATTTCTTTTTTATTAAACAAATGAATGAAAGTAAAAGTACGTTGCTATTTTTATTTTTAAGAGTAAATTACACTAATGGTCCCTATGGTTTGGGGTAATTTGCACGTTTGGCCCCTAACTTATTTTTTTAACTTGTAAGTTCCCTACAGATTGTTTTTCTTGCGCGTTTGCTCCCTGTCTTACCTAAAAAGACTATTTTGCCTTTGATTTTTTTATTCATTCAAATAAACACACCCCAACCCCACTTCCACCTCCCCTTACCTACCCCACCTTATTTAAATAAATTAAAAAATCAATGGCAAAATAGTCTTTTTAGGTAAGACAGGGACAAAGCGCGCAACAAAAACAAACTATAGGGACCTTTCGAGTTAAAAAAACAAATTAGGGACCAAACATGCAAGTTACCCCAAACCATAGGGACCATTCGTGTAACTTACTCTATTTTTAATATTTCATTTAAGCTTTTTCTAATTATGTTATTGTGCCTTTGTCTTTGTTATATATATCTAGTCCTAATGCAAACACTAGTCTACTCCCGGATGTTACTTTGACCATGAAAGGCTCAGGTCAATTTTTTATCTACAATCCCGTTATTGTCCTCCCAACTCATGTAAAATTCCCATCTTGCCACTTCATTTCAATTTCTTGAAACAAAAACAAAAAAAAAACCTAATTTTTCTTATATTATTATGTTGTAGCCAGAAGTTATATATTGTCTAGCTATTATCAAGAATGAAGAAATGAGCATCATTGGACGTAAGTCTTCTCTTTCTTCTATCCATTTTGTTGGAAAATACCTTTTAATCATATATTTATCAGACTAACTGAAAAACTAGCTGATAGCTGATAAAAAATAACGTTTAATCTGTTTGCAAACAGAAAACTTCATGACTGGCTACCGAATCGTATTCGATAGAGAGAAACTTGTTCTTGGGTGGAAGAAGTCGAGTTGTAAGTCGATTTCATTTCCACTTTTACATCTATTATGATTATTGGAAGTCAAACGTTGACTTTCTTGAAAAATGAAACATAATTGTTTTGTAGGTTATGATATTGATAACTCGAATGCTTACTCATCAAAGCCATTAAATAGTGAGATTATTCCTCATGCTGTTGCTGCTGGATTTGAAAGTGAAGGGAATAATAGAACAAGAGCTCGAAGCTCTGATGCATCATTTCTTCCTGCAAATTTTTATATTTTGACTTGTAATTTATTTCACTCTCTTGTCATTCATTCTTTCATTGTAGTTATTTTTCTTCATTCTTTTGTTTGAATAAAATTGTTTTTTTTTTTTTTTTTTCTTGTTGATTGTGTGTCCATGTCTAAAGTTATGTATGATTGTAGCTTTGATTGTGAATAGTTGATAGTGTTAGATTAAAGAAAGTGTAAGAAGGAAAAAGTGTTTGGATTAGTTTATTCAATATTAAAGTATTAAAACACAGTAAGCTGATAAGTTCTTTATAGTGTTTTGGCAAATTTTGTTTATAAATGACAAAAAAGACAGGGGTAGAAGGGTAAATTGATATGCAAGTCGTTAGTGATGAAGAAAGAAAAACAACGGTTGCAATTCATATGATAAGATTCTAAATTCATGGGTCAAGACAAGTCAACGGGTCAACCCATGGGTTTTGGGTTCTGGAATGGTCTTTTGTACTTTTCATTTTAGACCCGTTTAAGATTTTTGTGTTTTAAAGTACCTAAAAATGACCCCATATGAACTTTGAACCTTTGGTCCCAAACTAACATGTATCTAACTTGTACCAAGTGTAACAATACTTGTACCTTTCATGCCTTAGTCAATTTTCTGGATTTTCAAGATAAAGATGTATCCAACTTGTCAAAAGAGACTTCAAATAATAAATTTTATTGTTGGACTTTAGAGTAAACCAACACAATAGTAAACATCTTTGACAATTAACCTACTCATTGCTTTAAAAGCATCCTACTTTAAGATACATGATAAACATAATTACTATATAGGACAAGTTCAAGAGATGGTTTTATTACCTAGTACTCTTCCAAGAAAATCTAGGATGTTCAGTGGTTTTCAAAAAAAAAAAAGTGAAAAACCGTTTTTTTTTTTTTTTTTTTTTTTTTTTTTCGATTGTTTGTGTAAAATATTAAAGTATCAAATACAAACAAACAAAGTTACCTTTAGCCAAAATGGTTAAGGCCTTTGTCTCTCAAAGGTTGTATGTTTAAATCCCTTGCAGGTTTTTTCTGTAAAATTTAATTTTTGCGAGTTTAAATGTTATCTGAAAAAGTAAATCCGTGATTTTACTAGCCTTTTTAGTGTGGTAATTGTTCATTGTGTGATATTTTCTAAAAAAGTAGGTTACGATCGATGTAATATAGGAAAACAAAATATGGTCGGTGAATAACTCAAAAAGTATTGCATCTAAAGTTTATGTTTAATCAAACACTGAATCAACAAAAAAAGTAAGTTTCAAACTGTAATCATATATTAAAACATGGGGATGTCTAAGGATCTATATATTTTTCCTTTTAAGTAACCATTATATCGTATATATATTTTATCAATTAAATCTATTAGATCTAAATGGAAATTAGTCCCTTCTAATTGATGTAAACAATCCACCAAAAAAGTTGTGAAATTCCTAAAAGGTAAAAACAATGAATAGACAAGGTCTTGTCTTCTAACTAATTCTTCAAACATACTCCAATATCACTAGCCATATCAGCCATGCACCATCAGTTAGTTATCATACCAACCATGAACCACCCAATCATATCCCCCCCCCCCCCCCCCCCCCAAATATCTTTCTATAAATAACATGCCATGAATCCCATGCATGATCATCTCAGGGTGACAAAATAAAGGCAAGCATATAACATGGCCCTCATGACTACATTATTAGCCTCACTACTCATTCTCTCATTTTTCTCTCATGGAACTTCACTAAGTTCAAACTACTATTCCAAAACATGTCCTAATGTCGAATCACTAGTCACAAAGGCTGTGAGTGATGCTGCATCAAATGACAAAAAGGTCCCTGCAGCATTACTACGGATGCACTTCCACGACTGTTTCATACGGGTATATAACTATATATGCATGGGAATCGTTCATTTCAATTCTCTGACATTGTTACTATCGTGTTGACCAAATTGACTAAATATTTTTGTTTCGATTTTTCTAAAAGGGATGCGACGCTTCTGTTTTGCTGGATTCCAAGGGCAAAAACACCGCTGAAAAAGATGGCCCACCTAATGTTTCTTTGCATGCATTTTATGTAATCGACAACGCTAAAAAAGCAGTTGAATCCGCATGCCCAGGAATAGTGTCGTGTGCTGATATCTTAGCTCTCGCAGCAAGAGATTCAGTTGTGCTTGTAAGAATAAATTATAAATCTTCTTATTGTCGACAATATTATAAAGAAACTTAGTAATTATTAAAGGGTATTTTGGACATTTGATCAACAGTCTGGAGGGCCAACTTGGGATGTGCCAAAAGGAAGAAAAGATGGAAGAACATCAAAGGCTAGTGAAACTATACAACTCCCGGCTCCTACATTCAACATATCTCAACTTCAAAAAAGCTTCGCTCAAAGAGGTTTATCCCTAGAAGACCTAGTTGCCCTTTCAGGTAACTTATATTCCGAATATGTCCTTTTGTACCTTTTTCATCCCAAAATAAATGAAAGATTTCCATTAATATAACATGTTATTTGTTATCAGAAAGCTTATGGAATTTGTTCATGTAAATTGTATATATGTAGGTGGGCATACTCTTGGTTTCTCGCATTGTTCATCATTCAAAAATAGGATCCACAACTTTAACTCCACGACAGATATTGACCCTTCACTCCGGCCTTCATTTGCTGCAAGTTTAAAAAGTGTTTGCCCAGTTAAAAATGCAAAGAATGCAGGAGTTCCAATGGATCCTTCTTCTACAAGTTTTGATAATACATACTACAAACTACTCTTTCAGCAAAAGGCTTTATTTTCTTCGGACAATGCTTTGCTTGATTTCCCTAAAACTAAAAATTTGGCATCTAAGTTTGCAAGCTCAAAAGATGCGTTCACAAAGGCGTTTATAAAGTCAATGATTAAGATGAGTAGTATTACAGGTGGTCAGGAGGTTAGAAAGAACTGTAAGGTGGTGAACTAGATTGCATATGAAGATTTATATGTACTTTTGTGTCGTGAGATAAGTTTTTATAAGATAAAGGGGAAGCCCAGTGCACCATGGCTCTTAAGTGTTAGATGACATGGTTGTATTAAATTTGTTATAATAATGTTTAAATTTTTGATACCAGCAGAAATATTACATCTGTCAGTGGATATTAAATTTATAAGATTTGAGCAAGGGAAGACTAATGAGTACATATGAACTATTACACATACAACATTTTATGACATACAAAAATGTATGTCATAAACGATGTCATCTAAAAAATGAAGGATTTATGACTTACATACTTCTATCACGGTAGTGTCATAACAACTTTTAGAGTGATGACAAGAAAATGCATCTTCTTTTGCCAACAATGCAAGTCGTTTTCTTCAAACTTTTCAAGTTTTTTTGAATTTGGAACTCATGTCCCTGACAGATTATGACATTGTTATTCCTTTCAAATCATAGATGTTGAATGTTAGAGTTTGTGTTTTAGAATAACAATAAATAACATGGATATTCAAGGATTGTGTTTGGAAAACACTTAAAATCTGTGATTCGACCATATTGTTCGGGGTACCATGAAATCTAATTTGGAATAATCCAAGAGCAAATCAATTTGGAATACAATATTATTCCAAATCTAAAACACAAAATATACCTTGCTTCAGGCCCAGATCTAAGGGGGGGCAAGGTGTGCAGCCGCATAGAGCCCCGAAAAAATTAGGGCTTGAGTTTTTTAAAATTATATAATTAAGATATTATTATATATTATGTTTTCAGATTTTTAACACAAATGTCCTTTGGTTCAGCCGGTTAACACGCGTTTACTTAAATTCAATCCACACGGGTTCGGGTCTTTGCAATATCAATTGTAACTTTTTAATCGTCGGCTTATTTTCATTCAGATTGATATCATTGATATTCCAAGTTACAATTTCTACCATTCATTTATGATGCATACTTAACAATTTATCCTTTATATCAATTCTCTTTACTAAATAAATTTCCAAAAATTGATCTTTAGACCCTCAACTTTTATAAATTTATACTTATCATTTTGTTTATTAATTTAATTTATTTTTTAGTTTTTCTTTATGACAATTCAGCCTTTAATTTAAATTTCTTATATATATATATATATATATATATATATATATATATATATATATATATATATATATATATATATATTAGTCTATATAATTATTTCATTATACGTTCGGGCATAAGGGTCTTTTTTTTATGGTTCTTCCTGGGCATTTGAATCTTCAGAACCGACCCTGCCTTGCTTTATTGTGTTTTGAGAGACATGATAGGATGTACAGAGAAGACAAAGCAGTTTCTTATCAGCTATATCATCTTCAACATTCCTATCTTCCTTACATATGAAGAAGACAATATTTAATAGGGAAATCTGACTCCTTTTAATGGATGTGAACATTGGGTAATTAGGCAAGAAAATGAAGTCTGCCTGCGGCTCTATCCCTTGGACCCTGCCATGGGAGCTTCCCTTGGAACCATGTCCCTAAGGTTGTTACCCCGACCCATGTGTTCCTGAGTCTATATTTATCAATCTGACTGTATATCCCACACCTCCAATTTTGGAAAGTAAATTAAACTAAGTATGTCTTGATAATTAATAATACAAACTACACTAAAATATATCGATAATACTAAAATTATCAATATGCCACACCACACCATCATTGTCTAAATTCATATGCATATTGTTAAAGTTCTAAAAGTCATATAATATTGAAAACTGTTGAAGATTTGTAATAATAAATATTTACATAATGCTATTATTTTTTCATAAGTTACAAATTTCGTAAGAAAACAGAAGTTATATTTGAGCCAACACATTTCTTTATAGTATTGTGTATGAAGCTTTGCTTATATTTTTGGCTTCAAACAAATAGATTTTTACTTTCGATTTTCTTCGCTTATGCATATAGGACACCATGTGCAATGGTGTAAAAATTCGAAGTTGTTGATTTTATTAATTCAAAATTCACATGATCTATGAATTCCAATTAATTGCCAATTGGGTTTAACTAGTAATATTCTAGCTTAGACATCATAAATTTGAAGTCAAATAAATTATCCAAAATATATCACAAAGGAGCTTGGTCCTTAAATGTAAATATCTTCAAATGCTTATGACGAAAGAGAAAAAGAGCTCCTATTATTATTATATATATATTTTTAATTTTTAAATAAATATATATATATATATATATATATATATATATATATATATATATATATATATATATATAATATATAATAAAAAAAGTTGAACCTTGTATAGTTGTCCACTTTACCCCTTAACGCCCCCACCACTAAGAGAGAGTGAAAGGCCCTAAATTCTTGTGGATCACCCAATATTTGTTCATATGGATGTTTATTTCCTTACTCAGAAAAAATTATTACCGCATATATAAATTTTTAAGTAAAAGCATGGATCAATATTGATATGATAACTTTCGGTCCAAGTGGTTATAGGATTCAAGTTTCACTTGAAACTGTAATTTAGTATTAGATTAAAAGCTGTATCCGTTTCTAAATTTTTTTTTCTAAAATTATTAAATTATGGTATTTAACTCTTTAACTATAACATGCTATCAATTTATCATGAAAAAAGCAAAGGAGTAAAAGAAAAGTGCACACATACCCAAAAGAAACATTAACAAACAACCTTTTCTTGATCTACTAATAAACGTAGGTTTAAAGCAATATTATCTGCTTGAAAATGTAAGACATAATCATAATATTCTATAACAGATTTGACGCTTCACCATATACCCATAACTATATAATTTAATATTAACATTTTTATAGTTACTAGTTCGGTAGGTCATAGGTTTGTTTTAACTTTTAATATATTAAACCATATAAACATGGTTAAAAAGAGATTATCCATAGGTATTTGCCATTCAACATGTATCGGGGTGGCAAAGTATATTTCAAAATCGATGCATGATGAAGAGATGATTTCAGTAGAAAATATTGTGTGAATGCCAAGATGATGGATTGATGGTCAATGAATTATTGAATTATGATATCATTAACAACTTGCAATATCTTCTTACGATGTGTTAGACAAAGAGGTTTTAGAAACTTTTTAAAATTTTACTTTTTAATAAACAAAGAAAAAATTGTATGAAAGTACGTGTTTAAAATCTTTATTTTAGAAAAAGACTTAAGTGGTTTTTGATAACTTTTAGCCCTTAACTTTTATGTTCTATGCAATTTTAGCCTTTTAAAAAACTTGCAACTACACAAATAAATGATCCGATTATCAGCTACATACGGCTATTTTTGCTGCAAATACCTTTAACTACGATGACACCTTTTGCCTTCATTAATGAATTACTTAGTGTTGTGTTGTATATTTAGGGGTGTTTGGTAAAAAAAAATTATTGCTTATTAGCTTATAACTTATTAACTTATTATTTTATAAGTTAATAAGTACTTATGAAAAAATAACTTATTAGAGGTTCCGTACCGGAATAAGTTATTTTCATAAAAACATTTTTTTAACTTATAGTGGCGTGAAACCTAATAAATTGTTTTAAAAGGTTTAGCCAAACACCCCCTTACTTTTTTTTAAACAACGGATGCATAAAAAAAACTAGCAAGATGCTAGACAAAAGACAAAATTATAGAGTACAAGTACTATAAGAAAATCCAATTATATGTAACTAATTGAATATCATCCATCATTTTTAAATGAGAGCTTATCTTCTTGTCGAACACCAAAGAATTATAGGCCTTTCTGATTAACCAAATCACCGAATGGATTAAGGCTTACATAAGTTTTTTCTTCTTTTTTCCTCGAACAGGTTCCCCTAACTCCTTGAGCAGCTCCATCCTATTTTCAAGGCACTTGGTCAACAAACCACTCCAATCATGAAACCAATTCCAAATCTGATTCATCTAAACACAGTTGAAGAAGATGTGATCAACATCTTCCTCATCAATATTACACATAGGGCAAACAACAAAAACCAAAGAAATACCCCTATCTTTTAGATTATTAGCCACTGGAATATGATTCAATAGGACCCACCAAAAGAAACAATTAATCTTAATAGGAACCAACTAACCTGAATGAAATCGCGTAACATGTTGTGATCTCCCAGTGAATCAGCCATCAAAAGTCTCAACGAGCGGACATAATAGTGCTCCGAAGCATCAGCTCTCCAAATCCAAGAATCCAAATTCGGGGACAAACTAAACCCATCCATAATAGCCTTCAATGCAACTAGTGATGAGCAAATGGACCGGGGAACCGGCCGGAACCGGAACCGGAACCCGATGGAACCGGTCGGGCCGGGACCGGGACGTTATTTTTGTGGATTTTTGGAACCGGGAACCGGTAGGAACCGGAACCGATATAACCGGAACTGGTAGAACCGGCGAAAACCGGTAGAACCGGCAAAAAACGGAACCGTATCATGCTATTTTTCAAGGACCGGTTCCAACATTTGAAGACACGACAAGAACCGGTAGGAACCGGGAACCGGTAGAACCGGAACCGATAGAACCGCCGGGCCGGTTCGGTTCTTGATTTTGGCCGAAGCCGGTTCCCGGTTCCGGTCCGGTTCGGGCCGGTTCAGTCCTTTTGCTCTTCCCTAAATGCAACCAACTCTTCTGTCTCTTTTCCCCTCCTCAATTGACTCTTCCAAACCCCTTGAAAAACAACATTAGAACTCCCTTCAATCCTCTCCAAAACCATGCAATCTTTCTCTACTTCAAGTTTATACAAACTCAGGAACCTATCTTTAAGCGTGTAATCTCTAAGCCATTTGTCATTCCAACAATGTGTGTGATTTCCATGTATTCTTTTAGGTGATCGATGTTTAGGGTTCATGTGAGTTAAGGGGATATAGGTTTACTTGTTAATAACCAACTCTATTAATGAAATAACAAAGATTAGGTTAAATGTTGGTTTATTTTGAAAAAAAATGTTTTAGGTCTAAAGTAGATATTTTTTTTTTCTTAGGGTTTTCCATGGAAAAAATAACAATTTAACCATTGATAACCAGTTCGGATACAGAATTAACAAGTAATAAATAAAAGTTAATCATTTTTTAAAGAAAAAAATAATCTAAACGGAAAGCAGTCAAAATATCATGTCTATTATAGAAAAAAACATTTACTATATATTCATTACTTTCAAATTTCAATGGTAAGTCCACTAATATCTCAACGTTGTAAGCTTTTAGGTCTAACGGGTTACAAGATGGTGCCCATTTTTACTTAGGTTTAGAAAGTTCATTAATTAATTTTGTTAACATTGATTATTTTATTTTAAAGTCTAAAAACCATAACGGGCGGGTATTATTTGGTTTCAAACTAGAAGAAAAAAAAAACAAAAACGAGACCAAAATGACATCGTATTTAGGCCAAACCAAATTTCAAATTCAGTTTTTGATTTGATTACATACCAAATCGAATTATGAAGTTGGTTTATGGTTTGAATTATGGTGTGGTGATATTCGAACTAACCGAAGTGAATTATCAAATTTAATTTATTCATTACATAATTTACTTTTGATACTTTAATAGTTGAATTAAAAAACGGCAAACATATATGCAATTCAACCGTAGTCTACAATTGGCTTATTGACATCGCGATCCTAAAATTCGTTATCGTCTTTCTTTTATTATTTGTTCAAGAACGACTCAAGTCTAGGGCGTGCCAATTTGATTCTATTAGGCGTTTCTACTTGCATGCATATCTAATTAAATTAAAATGAATGTTTATAGTTCCTACTAGGAAATCCGATAAAATTAGAACGATACGTTTGACACCAAAAAGATTATAATTTCACTTTAAATAAAAAAAAATTACATGTGAGAATTGCATGTGAAGTTGATGTTTAATCAAACATTGATTCAACAGAAAAATAATTCGTTTTAAAATCCTTTCTAATAAATGAATGTATTTTTTTACTACATGTCACACTCTCATTCAATTTGTTAAATATCATTTTGTGGTTATTTTGAATTAATTTTTTTCACATGTAGTTTTATAAATTTTTCTATTTTATTGAATTCTACATAATATTTTATTGTAATAATTGCAATAAATGTAGTAATAAATGAATATTAATTTTACTAATACACTTATCTTTTAATTTCGAAATTCCTAAAATTAAATTTGATTAGTTTCTTTTCTTTATTTAAATTATTTGTTTTTAATAAATCATTATTTTTCTTATTTTCTTATATATTCAAATTTCTCAAATATTTTGATATTTATATTTAATTTTTTTTTCTTTTAATTAACCCATGTAATACATGAGTTTCACAACTAATATAATCATTAAGAACATGAGATGTCTAAGGTCTTAGACCATCCGTTATACCTACCACTAACCATTATAGTGGTGAGTGTCACTTCATCACCAAACTTTCTATCATTAGCCATGAGATATCTACCACTAAAAACACTCCACCTTATTTTTTATTTTAATTTAATTCAAAAATACATTAAAACACAATAAAACATATTTTTTATTTAAATTTAATTGACAAACACAATAAAAAATATATATTTTTTAAATTAGTTTTTTATTCAATGAAACAAACATTACATTAATTTATAACACACAAAATAAAATAAAAAAGATAATAATAATAAAAAAAAAATGCAACCACAAAAAACTTAAACTAGTTTTTAACCCTTATTTTTAATGACTAAATTTTGGGGACTCACTTAATTTTCGCCAAACTTTAACGTGTTTAAACGGTGTGTGTTCCGTGTCTTCATATTGGTGCATGACCACAACAAACAGGTCGCCTTCGTCTACATTGTTTATAACAAAGTTATAAATATCATCGAATTCAATGCATTTAACCCTCATGTCGCGAAACTTTGAACATATTTCATCAAGATTACGACTTTGACAACTCATTAAATCATGAAAAACGTTTCCAACTTTTACCCACAAATTATAAGGTATTTCTGGGTCTTCTGAAACATCTACTCATGGTAATGCTAAGTTCTCTTTTTCATTTTCTGACCAATTTAACATTTTAGGAGTCATTAGTTTTGAATTCATCAAGCAAAAGAAGTGTATGATTGTAAGAAGAGAAAAAAAATTTGTGTGAGTAAAATAAATGAATAGGTGTGATATTTATAGAAGAAGTTTAATGTTGTTTGAAAGGTAAAATTTAAATTTAAAAAAAAAAAGATTTTAAACCCTAAATATGGTCGTTACTCAACAGCCAATTACATTGTCCGTTTCCATTCGTTGTCCCGATCACGAACCACTGAAATGGTGTGCACAGTCGAGGTTCGTGGCCACCTAGACCACGAACCCGTCTGTTGCAACCATACCGGTTGTCCCTTTCCCTTCTTGGTTAAATGGTATCTAATATTTGATCAATTAAAATATATTAAATCTTATTCTATTATCATGAAAATTAGACCTTACCATCAACAATCGACCAAAAAGGTTATGCATTCTAACTAATTCTTCGAACATACTCCAATATCAACCATGCACTAACAGTTCGTTATCCACCAACCATGAACCACCCTACCCACCGCACCCCCACCCCTCTTTCTATATATAACCATGACTACATTGTTAATCATTTATCATTTCTTTTTCCTGGATTTTCGGTATTTTTTCTTCTTCATTATTATTATTTTTTTCTTTGCCCCAAAATAAATGCAACATTTCCTCTTAAACTTACTCCAAATATTAATTTTGGTCCACATTATCCTCATTGGGATTGTTTGGGATTCCTTATTTAACTTTTTTTTTTCCTGTAAAAATGTTTATTAGTATCAAAATAGAGCTCAATAAAAAATATTTGAATTAGTTTACGGGTTGTCAAAAAGCTGACGAGTTATATTTTAGTGTTTGGTAAATTTTGTTTATAAATGTAAAATGACTAAAAAAATAAACGTGACATCTTTATAGATTATTTATGAAGAAAAAACATAGGTAAAAAGGTAAAATGGGTTTCACCGATAATATGTTGTTTTAAATAATTTGGAAGGAAACAACTTATCAAAAACTGCTTATTTAAGTAAATAAACATTTTTATTTATTCCATCCAAAGTCTATACACTTAAAATTGCTTATTAACTATATCAAATCGCAATAAGCTTAATAATCAATTCCAAACACAAACACACCTTTTGTCATTATTACTAATCATTATAAAAACATTAAAATAATCAAACACTAATAGAATTATGCATCCACATTAAAATAACATATTACTAATCATCATAAAAACAATAAAAACATTAAAGTTAAGTTTGACACGCTATATCTACTTTATTTTTCTACTTTTTTTTAGGTTGTCATGTTTAGGAAACCAAAAAGTAGCTTTTTTAAAAAGCTACTCGAAGTAGCGTTTCAACAAGCTTATTGAACTTTTTATAAATTCTCCAAAATATACCCTTTATTAGTTATAAAAAAAACTCAATCCTACATGCATTTTATGTCATTTTACATATTCAACTAGCTTATTAGTAGTTTTACCAAACATCATTTTTTTATCAGCTAGTTTTTAAGCTATTAGCCAGCTTTTAAGTTTATGTTACTAAAAGAAATGTTACATGAAGTACAAATCTCCTTCTACTAGTTAGATGCAATAAACAGGATTTTGCATAATAAATAAACTATCTAATCATTCAGGTAAAGTAAAAAAAAAAAACACCAGAAAGATTATCAATCTAACCTCGAATTTCTACCAATTGAATGTTGCCACTTAAACCAGAAGCCTTCCAAGAAGGAAGAAACGAAAATCCATCCAGAAGCTTCACACATTTCAATTGCCATTTCACCATCAAGAACTCAATAAGGTGATGCCCACTGCATAAGTAAAAAAAGAAGAAAAAAATCTCATAGGGGTGAAACTTGAAAGAGTAAAGAGTATTTAATTGTTTAATTTAAAACAATCATCACCTTCTATTGTGATAACTTGAAATAAAAACTGATCCAGGTGAATTCTCCAGAAGGAATTTCACAGTTGCAAAGAGGTTGTCAAAGGCTTTGCAATATGTCACAAAAACATTATAAATGGGAACTTTAAACTTCTTATGATTATAATGTATATATCCTACCACTTGAGTCATACAACACATCAGCTCCAAGGATTACTTGTGGTTGCAAACTGAAGATGGATTCATCCCATACACCCCATGTAAGCCCCATTACCTATAATATATAGTTGAGGTGAATATATGAATGTATCATGTGTTCAAAGCTTCAAATGACTAGAAAAAATCCATGGAAGTGTATATAGTATATGTATATACACACAGAAAGGGGAAATAAAGATGATTATTAACAGTTGTTATCTACATGAATTATTACCTCACACTTGACATTATTAAGCTCACAGACTCTTCTCATGTTGTCCAAAACCTGCAAATTGAATATTACAAGCTTGTAAGAAACAGATTCATATTGATTATAAGTAGTGTATATTGTACAAGCCTTGTTTATACCTCTAGTTTGTTGGAGTCATCGGTAAGAATGACTTGTGCACCTACTTTTGCAGCAATCAAGCCAGGAAGTGATGTTCCAGCTCCAAGCTGCAGATAAACGTTATGTTTAAGTTTTGGTAATCGATTAATCATAAACAGAACACGGAATGAATCATGATTTATCTAAAACAAAGAAGCTAAAACGATGTAAATTGTGTATGTTTAAGTTTTGGAATTACCTCAATCACGCGAATTCCAGTAAATCGAGATCTTTGTTGCCATACGTACTCCGCTAGAATAACACTACATGGCCACACGAACAAGCCGTAGTCTTCTTTCATGCTCTGTACATTTGATCGTGGCCTTTATTAGGTGATTTCGTGCAATACACGCCTTATTCGCTTGCTACGGAAGATAATTTTTCTATGTATTCGTGCGTAGAGAACAGGCAAGCTAGATCGAAATGTTTATCAATTTGCAGAAAAAGGGAGAAGGGAAACTCATGAAGAGGGAAAAACCTCGACGATTGTGATGGATACGGCATCGTCGGAGCCATTTGAATCTCCGAAATAGTGATGAGATACGGTGGTCATACCTTCCGTTGGCGTTGGCGGAGTTTCTGTTGAGCCACCGTCGCCATCAGTGGTGTAATTACTGTTCTCTTCCATGGAAGAACCACAATGGCGAACTCTGACTCTATTCGTCCTAAACTTATCTATAAAAAGTCCTTGAGGTTGTAACTATTTACAAAAACTAACCTTGACATCAAAATTTGTTATAGATGAGTATGAGTCGGTTTCTGACTAAAACCGAACACAAACCGTACAAGTCCATATTTTCTAATTATGATGGTGGTAAGGGTTTTGTTGGTGAAAAGAACGAATTGGATATTCATAATGGGTTCTTTTGAAGATTTTACTAATCATTTTGAAGAAATATTGGATAATATTATTAGCACCGATTATGTGGAAGATAGAAACATCTTTTATGACCCGCTCTTACTTAAAGAAGTTGTTTCTTGGACCAAAAAGTGTAAGAATAAAACGTTGATTTTCAAAGTGGACTAAGATAAGGTTTTTAACTTGTTTAGTTAGGAGTTCTTAGACTCAAATATAGAACAAATGGAGTTATGATGAAAATGAATAATATGAGTTAGGGGTTGTCTTTCATTAAGTAGGGCCTCAATTTTGGCCAACGACTCACCCATAAAGGAATTTGAAAACATTAGAGGAGCGAGCAAAGAGGATCTTTTATCGACATTTCTCTTTATCGTTGTCATGGAGGAGCTCTATATGGAAAAGGGCTTGTGAACTTCATTATGTTCGAGGTTTATCTCTTCCATTGAATGGTATCTCTCTTTCACATCTTACATACATCAACGACATGACATTTATTGACGAGTGGTCATAAATGAATTTTATTAATCTTCATAGGTTTCTTTGTTTTTTTTCTTGCTTTGGGGTTAAAGGTAAACCTGCATAAAATCAAGGTGTACAAGATTTATGTTGATAGCTTGGAGATCGATAAACTTGCTAGTATATTTAAATGTGAGTTTGCCTCCCTCCCTTCACTTATTTTGGCCTTTCAGTTAGGGCTAATATGAAACTTGTTAAGAATTGGAATCCAATGATGACAAACTTAAGGGGAAATTATCCAAATAGAAAGTTAAAAGTCCCTGGTTTGGAGGTCGACTTACCCTTGTTAACTTAGTTCTTTATAGTCTCATATTTTATTACTTTTCATTTTTTATGTCTCTTAAAAAGTAATTAATGTGTTAGATAGTTTAAGATGATGCTTTTATGGGGAGGAGATGAATATAACAGAAAACTAATTTGGTGGCTTGGGATGTTGTTACTAAATCGAAAGAAAAAAAAAAAGAGGGGGGGGGGGGGGGAGTGGAGTTCTCTTGAGTTGAGACTTGACGCCTATTACTAAATGGTGGTGGCGATTAAAAATTAGGTACGACTTAGTTTTGGTGTTCTTATATCTAATTGATGCATGGTATTAAGTTGATTTATGACAAGCTTTTGGCTAAAAGATCGATAAAACATGTTTGGCTTGAAATCTCTAAATTGGATTTGGAGTTCGGTGAAAAATGTATCGACTTGAATATTCTCTTTAAAAGGAAGATTTTCAGTTTTAATTAATATATTAAATGATTTCAGTTTAAGAACGATTGACATGTGGGTTTAGAATTTTTTTTTTTTTGAAACGATAAATATAATATATAATCTACACCTAAATCCACTTATGTCCACGACGGAACTTGAACCCTCGACCTTAAGGATTGAGTGCACCACTTAATACCGCTTGACTAAAAGCCCTTTTGAGGTTTGGAATGTTGATGGCAAGGGTTCTATCTTATCCTTAAGGCAACTTGAAGTCGGTACACATAGTATGGATTCGGTTGCTTGGATTGGATGGATCCCACTAAAGATCACTTGATTTGTTTGGAGGGAAAATGCCTTAATGGGGATGCTCAATGTGATCGCTTGGGGACAATAACACTCAAAATATGAGATTGTCTTTAGTTTAGTGCATTATTGGATGATTTTGAAGGCTAGAAACGTATCTGGAACTAAAAACATATCACAATGCTTATGAATTTAATTGGATAAAAAATAAGTTTACATTTAATTGGATAAAAAATAGGTTTATATTATTGGGGTGTATATATATATATATTTTGTTTTGCCGGCTGTTTAAAAAAAAATAAACATTACTCCTTGAATTTTTAAACTAAATATATTCTCTTAAAAAAAATTTCTTAGGTGGTCAAAGTCTCAAAGACCCGAAGCGATCTCTTCTTGCATTATCCAATTTCTAGACTCTGCTACACTCTGCTGCTCAAACTCATCGAAAAGGGTTACTATTAGGGTTACGATTTGTCCGATAATGGCGTTCGCAAACTATTCATCATTTGTTCATATCGAAACATCATCAAAACATTCTATACTAACTTCTTCTTTTGCAATTTCTCCAAAATCATCATTATCAACATCTTCCTTATTTTCATCTCATTCCCGCAACCGTGAATCACGAAGGCTTTCGAGTTTTCCGGATATCCTAAGAATTCGTCGAACAGGTATATTTTTCTTACGAATATGATTGAGTTGTGATCAATAATGTTTTTCGTATCATTAGTTTTGAGAAATCTAATGGAATTTTTTCCTCTACTGTTACTGTAAATGTCAGTACATGTTGGCATGAATGAGTAGCTAATTACATCTCGAACTGATTAAATGTGCTATGGTGATAGCCTTGATTATTGCTCTTTAACTTATTTTTCGTTGTTCCCATCGAAATTGGACGTCTTTCCATGAATTTGTTTAAGAATAGGTCAAAAACCCTAAATGTTATTCACTAACTGACGAAGTAAATCTCCAGGACCTGCTAAATAAAAGATCATCAATCATGGATGTAAAGTCAATGATATTAATAGTTTGAAAACAGATTTTGGATTCATTAGTTTCTCTTCACTACAGCAATTATAGATGAACCTAAATAGTTTCAAATGAAAATAGGTCATTACACATCATCACTCTGTGCATATTTTTTATCTGGATGAAAATAGATTGTGAGTAGAATCTTTTGTTTTGCTCATGTTCTAACCATAATACTTATCTCAGTTGCAGTCAAACCACAAGCTTCTGGGGCCAATTCAGTTGCTGAGGCCTTTTCTGAATTCAAACACCTTCTTCTTCCAATAACAGATAGGAATCCTTATCTCTCTGAAGGAACTAGACAGGTTACTGCTTTTCTTTATTGCTGCCACCCTTATCAATGTTATTAAATAAATGAGAATAAAATCTTTAATCTTTTTCTCCTGATTCCTTCATGACTCTTAACAGGCTGCAGCAACTACAGCTGCTTTGGCCAAGAAATATGGTGCTGACATAACTGTTGTGGGTATGACTTCCGTTTACTTTTATCCATTCAATTAAATAAATACACATTCATTCATAAAAACCTCTATGAAGCCAAAAATGAATTTGTGTAAAACTTCTGTTTTGTAGTCATTGACGAAAAGCTGAAAGAATCATTACCTGAACACGACACTCAACTTTCAAGCATCCGTTGGCATTTGTCTGAAGGTAGGCCTGCTTTCTTTCTGTATACTGTGTTTGACATGCATTGGACCGAGATTGATATTGCTGTCAACAGTACAAACATTGCAACTCCTTTTGCCCCTCTCAAAAAGGTATGATAGGGACTCGTTCTCGATCTCTCATATGTGAAAAAGACGTAAACACCCTTCTCATCCTCATCATCGGAAATAGCCCTAAAAAGCTTGTCCACTCCAATTAATTGTAACAAACGCAATGCGTTTGTTACACAAAACTAGACAAGCTTTTTAAGGCTATTTCCGATGATGAGGATGAGAAGGGCGTTTACATCTTTTTCACACATGAGAGATCGAGAACAAGTCCCTATCACACCTTTTTGGGAGGGACAAAAAGAGTTGCAATGTTTGTACTGTCGATATGAATGTCAGTCTCAGTCCAATGCATGTCAAACACAGTACAACATGTTCTGTTTTATGATTTTGATTAATGATTCTTGAATTTTTTATGTTTAAATAAAAAGGGGGGTTCCAAGAATTCAAGCTTTTAGAGAGACTTGGGGAAGGAAGCAAGCCAACTGCAATTATAGGTGAAATTGCAGATGATATGAATTTAGATTTGGTTATTATGAGTATGGAAGCCATCCATTCAAAGCATGTAGATGCAAACTTGCTAGCTGAGTTTATTCCTTGCCCTGTTATTCTTCTGCCATTGTAACTCTTTTTGGTTATTGTTTAATGTGGGGTGGGTCTTTTTGTAGAACATCTGTTATATTTCAGTTTTATTAATCTTTTTCTTTAATAGTAAATATATGTGTCTTAATCTTAAATAACCAATTGGGAAATCAACTTTTAAGAACAAATTTGACTGGTAAAATCAATAGCCAGCCATACTCTGCTGACGTGGCATGAAAGTTTTAGGGATGTTTCTTTTGGTTGTGTGTGATGGAATGGAATCAAAAAACTAGGTCTGACAACTGGGTTGGGTTCGAGTTGGCGGGTTAGCGGGTCAGAAAACATAAACTCAACCCAACTCATATAATATATGGTTGACGGGTTGGCGGATCACGGATTGGTGGGTTGGAAACCTCAATCCAACCTAATCCATGTAACTCGTTTAATAAATAAGCAATACATTTAACAAAAAAAAATGAGGTTTTTTCAACATAAATTCATAAAATGATTAAAGTAATTAACATAAAAAAAGTTTTCACTAGCGATGTCAACGGGGGCAAACGGGACGGGGAGTGCATTCTTCGCCCCCGCCCCGGTCCCCGAAATATTCAGCATGCCTACCCCCGCCCCCGTCCCCGAAACCCCTTTATTACCCCTGCCCCTGCCCCTGTTCCCCTGCCCCCGATTGATTTCAGGCTACTTTTTTTGGGCTAAAAGAAATTATTAGTTAGGCTAAAAGAAACTATTTTTTAAGTAACAAATAATTATTTATAGCAGAATCTTACATGTTAAAAATATAAAAATTATGATATCTTAAAAACATTATACTAACAAATTAAAAATATGTTTTTTTGATAAATTTTGGAAGCTCAAAACCATGTTATTGTTTATTGTATTTATATAATTAATATATTCAAATATATGTGTAATTTATTAACGGCGACCCCATGGGGGTTTCGGGGCAGGATTGCCTACCCCTGCCCCCGCCCCCGAAATTAAAACGGGGGTTAACTTTTCCCCAACCCCCGTCCCCGTCCCCGATTTTTTTTTTTTAAAAATTCTCCGAAATGGGACGGGAACCCCACGGGACTTTTTGACATCCCTAGTTTTCACCATAAATTCATAAAGTCGATAACATCTAAATAAAAATGAAAAATGAAAATATTCATAGAAATTTGATGTGTTCTTTGTTCATGACTCGTGAAAATAACGATATTTATTTTTTTCTTTTTTTGATTAACGAACCGCAACTATGGATTTGTCACATACGAATACAGAAGGAATACAATGATACGAAATATTACGAATAAGGATGGAAATCAAATTTCATTAATATTTAAATATCATTTTTTTTAAATGTAATATATATATATATATATATATATATATATATATATATATATATATATATATATATATATATATGATAAAATGAATATACCTAACAACCTTATATAAGCTTAGGTACCTAACTCCATAATAATACATCGGTTTGTATCATATTTACATTGTAATTGCCTAAGGTTCTTAAACTTCAACCCTATAACTTGATTACTTTTAAAATCTTTGGATTTTCAACAATATATTTCTTTTACATCACGTCTTTCTATCGAATAACATCTGATGAGCTTCATATCTTACCGCTACAAATGAAAGGATGTAGCAGAAATGTAATGATGAATTTCCAATTTTTTTTGAAGTAAATCAAGTTTAGGGATGAATTTTAAGAACCTTGGATGATTGCAATGAAAATTTAATGCAAAATGACGTAGTTTGATGAGGTTAGGTACCTAAGCTTATATAAGATTGTTAAGTATATTCACTTTACCCATATATATATATATATATATATATATATATATATATATATATATATATAATATATATATATATATATACGGGTTGGCTGATTGACCCGCGAACTCAAACAGATAACCTAACCCAACCCATGAAATAAACGAGTTGGTGAGTTGGCGGGTCAAAAATCTCAACCCAAACCCGTCTATTTTCGGGTTGGGTCAGTGTCGGGTTGGGTCAGTGTTTGGTTACGGGTTGGATCGATAGTTGTCACCCCTAAAAAAAACAATGGAATGATCGATTCTATTGATTGTGAATAAGCTTTTTGTTAAGTCGGATTAAATGGAATTTTAATATGTTATTCTTGAAGTGTTGTTTCTTTTATTAGATATAGGGAGATTTGTTAATTTTGATTCCTTGGTCAATGATATTCAATGAGAAAATCAAATAAATAGTCAACTAATGCGTATAGATTTAACAAAATGACCTCCAATTGGAAAAGTAGCTAAAAAGGATAATTTATTTCACAAGACCATTGCATGATAGGAGGCATATATTGCGAAATTATTGTTTATCGGACATAAAGTAATTTCACAATGCTTACATTGTGAAAATCATGTTTTGACAGCTATTTTGTCTTGTTTATTAACAGAGCATTATATATATATATATATATATATATATATATATATATATATATATATATATATATATATATATATATATATATATATATATATATATATATATGGTTAGGTTAATGTGAAACGACCTAATTTTATGAGACCGAGAGACGCATTTTTTTATTTTTTATATTTTTTCTATTACTTTTTATTTTTTTTATTTAATTCAAGTTCCAAAAATAATATTTAAAAAAAAAAGAATTTTTGGATTTTTCCATTTATTTTGCATTTTAAAATTATTTTTTAGAATATGTACAGTGTAATATTCTATTAGAATATTTCATCTATTTTTCCAAAAAAAAAACAAACAAGATTTTATTTTTATTTTTATTTTATTGTATTTTTATGTTTTTTTTTTGTTAATTCAAGTTCCGAAAATAATATTTAAAAAAAGAATTTTTAGATTTTTCCATTTATTTTACATTTTACAATTATTTTTTAGAATATGTCAGTGTAATATTGTATTAGAATATTTCACGTATTAAAAGAAACGAGATTTTTTTATTTATTTTTATTTTTCTAGTTAATTCATGTTCCGAAAATGATATTTAAAAAAGAAATTTTGGATTTTCTCATTTATTTTGCATTTTAAAATTATTTTTAGATTTGGTCTCACGGTTCTTACAAAATTAGAATGGTCTCAAATGAATATATATATATATATATATATATATATATATATATATATATATATATATATATATATATATATATATATATATATATATATATATATATATATATATATATATATATATATATATATATATAAGGTTAGGTTAATGTGAGACGACTTAATTTTGTTAGATTGTGAGACGCAATCTTAACAACTCATTTATAAGATAAAACAAAAACATTTTTAAAATGCAAAATAATTGAAAACTTTTGAAATTTTTTTTCCAATATAATTTTCGGAATATAGATTTTCCAAAAAATAAAATAAAATAAATACCAAAACTAAAATAAAAAATGAATACAAAAAAATACATTTTTTTCCATATTTTAGAAGAATATTTAGAATATATTACATATCTGACAAATCTAGTAGAATATTCTAAACATTCTAAAAATCATATTACAATATGTACAGTGTAATATTGTATTAGAATATTTCACGTATTTAAAAAAAACGGTAATTTTTTTATTTTTTAGTTAAATAAAGTTCCGAAAATAATAATTTAAAAAAGAATTTTTGGATTTTTCTTTTTATTTTGCATTTTAAAATTATTTTTAAATTTAGTCTCACGGTCTCACAAAATTAACATGGTTTCAAATGAACCTGAACACACACATATATATATATATATATATATATATATATATATATATATATATATATATATATATATATATATATATATATATATATATATATATATAAACGAAATCGTATTTTCAACTGTCAAGTGCGTTAGACATTAGACGTTGACAATTGTTATTAATCATTACTACATTAAATTAAAAAACTAATAAGCTGGTTAGTAAAATTATATAGTAACTATAGGAGCTACATTACTAATTTATAAATTAGTAGCAAAGAAAATTGTGGAATGTTGGTGGTAGTCTTTAACCTTTACATTTGAAAATTAAAACAAAGGTGGTAACATACGTTGCTTGATACAAATTTGTATCAAGCAAACTTATTGGTAGCTAAACAAGTTCGTACTTCGTACTAAGTATATTTGGTACGCTATTTGTAGCAAAAAATTATATCAATTATAGTTGGTACGATATACGGTTTGAATAAAAATAAATTTATATCGTACCATGTTCAGCCCGATAATTAACCCCCTTATCTTGTAATCATATTTTACTTTATCCCTTAATTATATTTTAGTTTTTAAATTATTTATTTATTTACTAGTTGATTAATTTATCAAATATTTAATGACATTTTGTTTATGAAATATAAATTTATAACGATAATATTTATTAGAAAACTTGTATTAAAATATGATGTGTGTTGAAAAACGACAAATTAAATGAAGTATTTATATAGAACATTTAGATTTAATGAAAAAATTAGATTTAATGAAAAAATTATTGAAAGAGGTCAACCATTGGATGTATCATTTACCAAAGGGCTTGTAGCCTAGTGATATCTGGTGTTGTCTTCCCTTCTTAAGGTTGATGGTTCAAGTCCCGTCGTGAACATATATTGAATTAAAGTGTAGTTTAGAACTAGGTTAGATTTTTCGTTTCAAAGAAAATTGGATGTGTCATTTAATTAGAGGTTAAAATTAATGAAATGATGAGATGTCAATCATGGGCGAATTTACTTTGTAGCACTAAGTAGCTCGAAACCATTTGATAAGTTATCAAGCCAAAAAAAAGGAGTTGTTGCATTGGCTCCTATTCTCCACGTATCTCGAAACCAAAGGTTTTGAGATCATGTGTTGTGTAGACTATAAGGTCAAGGCTTTTAGCCATTTAGACTCTGGACAGGTTAAGGTCAGGGGCTTTAAAGTCGTTTGTCATTTAGACTCATGGAAGGTCAAAGCCAGGGGCTTTGGAACCGTTTTCCATTTAGAATACAAGGTCGAGGCATTGGCCTCTAGACTCATGGAAGGTCAAAGCCAGGGGCTTTGGAACCGTTTTCTATTTAGAATATAATGTTGAGGCCATTGGCCTTTAGACTCATGGAAGGTCAAAGTTAGG